ATATATATGTATATATAGATATAGACAGATAGATAGATAGATAGATAGATAGATAGATAGATAGATAGATAGATAGATATGCATGTATGTGTGTATGCATGTATATGTATATGTACATGTATGTGGATATGAACACATCTCTCTCTCTCTATATATATATATATATGCGGCCATTCATACGATGTCATACCCAAAAGACGTTTGCTAGTTACTCAGGCCCTGTGCCTGAGTATGTAGAGTAGGGTTTCTGAGTACCAATCTCTATTTCCGTAAGGAATAGTTATATTATCACTAACCATGCTTCTTTTTGTATAGGGTTTGGATGCATGTCGAGGTGGTGATGTTAAATAGGTCTGCCTGAATTTCTTGTGTAGTCTCAACAGTGAACCTTTCTATCCCTTTCAGGCATTCGTGCTGAAAAGGAACGGGAATCATGGTTGTATGAACTTCTACGCAAGTTAGACTCAAGGACTGAAGGAAGAGGTAACGAAGAGTGACTAAAAGACTTACTAGACTGCTAGAGTGTTGCAGTTTAGAGTGAGTCAGAATTAACTACATGGAATCCACGGTGCACTCTGGCTCCAAGCTGGGTATACCCCTTGCGGTCCTTTGCGAGGGCCTGATCAATAGACGATCCACACTGCAGTTTGCCAGCATTAGCGTGGACCGGTGGCTTCAGGTGTAAGCTTCAGGGCCAGTTTTGGAACGGGAACAGCTGCATTACGGTTTCAGACACTGCGCACTGTCTCCCTATCAGCCCTTCAGTTGGCCTCCCCTCCGTTCCTTTCTCCATCTCTTTCTCACCCTAAGGGTCCATGTGCCCAAATAGTATATACATTGGCCTTAAAGTAGTCCTCATATAAGTACTTTGGGGCCAATGTTTATACTATATGAGTACATGGACCCTTAGGGTCACACACTCAGCCAGTCAGTCACTCACTCACTCACTCGCTCACGCGCTCACTCACTGATTTTCTCGCTCGCTCACTCTCGCTTTTCCGTCCATGTATATATATATATATATATACACCTAAAGGCAACACACACACACGTGCGCAATGATGCATGCATGCGCAGACGGAGAATTAACCCAAAGGCATAACTGCAAACATGTGTGCGACATATTCTATCTCTCCGTCCATGAATCTTCTCGATCATCTGTGTTTTTTTACAATTCCGAGTAAGTACATAAATACCGCTTGCCCCATTCACGCTCCAGCGGAGGCCGTTAGTTTGCAGAAAGAGCCAGAACGAATATGACCTGGTAGTTTCCGAGAATTAGGGTACCTTATTTTGGGATCCTTATAATCAGGATCCTACTAATTAGGGTACTATATTGGGCTCCCGTATTTTCGGAAACCCCCACCTTGACTCAACTTGCCACCCGGTGCCGGCATGCACGATGTTTTCTGCATCCATAAACTCTACGCCCGACTAAGCCCTAAGCCCGAAACCCTAAACCTCAAACCCTAAAAAACCCAAACTCGAAGCCCTAAGCCCGAAACCCTAAACCCCAAGTCCCAAACCCTAAGCCCCAAGCCCTAAAGCCCTAACCCCCAAACCCTAAAGGAGTCCCCAGTGGGTGGGGTAGCACAGAGCTCGAGACATGAGAGTAATATAGGGACCTTAATAAATACCAATACTGTTTTGGGTTTAGGGTTTCGGGTTTAGGGTTTAGGGTTTCGGGTTTAGGGTTTCGGGTTTAGGGCTTATGATTATAGTCTAATGGACCTCCTAACCCTATTCTAGTTATTTTAGGCCCCTATGTTAAGGAGAACCCTCAGACCCGAAGCGTTCATTGCGGGTCCACAGCCCCTGGGCCCCGGAGAACGTATAGAATATAGAAGCCGAAATAATTACCTATAGACCTATAGTATTTCTTAGGGTGGCCTTGTTTTAGCCATACTATAATGGCCCCAAGAACCATTATTCTACTTATTCAGGCCCCTTCATTTTAGGGACTTGTCGATATTTGGGGATATCTTACTGCTTGAGTGTGATTATGTTAAGGAGCCTGCTTTTATTATGGGTCTATGTATTTTTGCCCTAAACCCTAAACCCTAAACCCTAAATCCAGTAGGGTCCCATCATTGTGTGGGTCGCATGGCCCCTGTCCGGAAGGTGTACCGATGCCTCCTCGACGGGGACAGCGATCGCGGAAGGATGAGGCGTGGTTCTGCCCCGAAGACTTCAGAATCAGAATTACCTTAACCTTCCAGGTACCTATACTATATAGGGCCCTAGGGGCTCTAGTACCCCATATAGTAGGTACCAGGGGTGCTAGGTTATATATTCCTTAGTCATTGCACAGGCACGTGAATGCTAACACCCTAGGGAAACCTTCTCAAACACCATAGTCTCGAAGATTGCTGCCTTGGGCCTGTCGGTACCCTGTCCGATCCAGGTGTGGTGGGAACCCGTTATTCTGACCCGGAGCCCTTTGAAACCCGAGGCCCAAGCTATACTTGTTCTATCTACTCCGGATACTATGGATACTATAAGGGCCGGAGCTAGAAATCGCACGACCCTTGGGTCCCCCATATAATGAACACAGGGTTTCTAGATATCTTGACAGAGCCTCTTGTAGGATAAGCCATGCTGTGCCGTGACAACAAGCAACTGTGCAACAGCTGTCCGATCAGGCTCAAACAGCAATCCGAGTAGTGCCATGGGATGAGCGCTCACATCGTCGATAGTCAGTTCAGCTATTGGCTCATCTCAGTTGGCAAGGGTGAGGTGTCCAATCAAGAGGTCGCATGAACATCATGATTTCCTGAGATTCATGCATGAATCAACCCTAAACTCTAAACGCTAAACCCTAAACCCTGAACCCCTAACCACTAAACCCCTAAACCCCTACGGAGATATGGGCGAGTCACTGGCCTGGCGAGTGAAGACGTACTTGCAATGGACGGGCTGGCTCCAGCGACCCTGTCTTGAGCAGATTAGGGTTTAGGGTCTAGGGTTTAGGGTCTAGGGTTTAGGGTTTAGGGTTTAAGAGATCTTTACAAGCTTGAGTAGGTTTCAGGGTTTAGAAGTTAGGGTTTAGGGTGAGGAACTTGGAATTATGGTTTAGTTCAGATTTAGGGTTTAGGGCTTATAGGGTTGAGAGTAGGAATATGTTGATGTTTGGCTCCGGGAGCTTAGCTTGAGCATCCTAAAAATGAGTTCATCCAAACTCTAGGACATCTTTCCGGTGGTCATGGCCGGACACTGTAGAAAGAAGGTGAGTGCCAAGCTGAAGAGTGACTTGCAAGTAGCGGACAAGCCATTAAATCCCCGCAGAGTCGTGCAGGCTTCCTTTATTTCACGGAACAGACTTCTGTGTGACAGAGCAAAAAAACCCTAAACCCTAAACCCTGAACCACAAAATGCCCCAAAGCTTGAGTTTCAATGCATCAGTATCGCTAAGAGATCCTGAGTAGGCTCGAAGCCAAAGGCGAAATGCCCCAAACCATGGGGCATTCAGAAGGTTTTGTAAGAGTTCTTTAATATGAGGGCTGCTATTATATGTGTTACGGTTGATTGACAAAATCCTGCATGACCTTATATACCTAAACTATGGGATTTATGGTACTACACTATATTGGGTCATGCAGAATTTTGTCCATCAACAGTATGTCGGTGATTTATGTGGTATTTATCGTTGAGGGTGCAGGATGTGGAGCTTACAAGGTTCAGAGGTTTGTGCACGGGTTCAAGGCGTAGAGGGTTTAGGGTTCAGGGTTTAGGGTTTAGGGTTTAGGGTTTAGGGGTTGGGGTCCAGACTCACTCAGCCCGTAAACCCGACGCTTCTGCGGAGTGAGAGGCCCACCACACTTGAAAACAAAACCCTAAACCCTAAACCCTCCAGGTATATACCGAATCTGGTGGTAGCAGCGACCGTGCTGACGATCGCTTTGCTCCTCCAATGGCTCGGGTGCGCAAGGCGCATACGGTAAACCCTGAACCCTAAACCCCTAAGCCTGAAACC